ATAAAAAACGATTTTAGCCAAAATTTTTTCCCCACAAAATTATAATACTTTCGACTGAAACGTTTTTTTTTATAATAGGCGGTATTAAGCTGTAACACTTTAATTTGAACACCCGGTATATACTAGTGGATTCACAGTTTGCTCAATTCAATTTTTGTTGGTACCTCATCTATACCACTACTCATCTTATTTTTGAGTTTCTTCCCAATCTCTAAAATTTCCATTGCAGTTACTGGTATTACATATAGACTTTAAGTTACTAGATATTGTACTTACATAATTACTATTACTTTTTGCTACTGTTGACGCCTTCCCCGTTATTTGTATAGTATGTTGGTTATTTTTGCCATTTATTTTACTCACTATTTGCCATGTTGTTTTAGTTTTATTGCCCGAGTGAGATATTTGTTTTCCAAATGCTTTCTTTTTTCTAGTTAATAGTTTCTTGTTATACTCTTCCTTTACCTTTTTATAACTATCCCAAAACCTATTATCCACTCTGCTCATTGTGAATAGAATATTTAAACGCCTTTTGCATTCTGCCACCTCAGAGTCACTTATAGGACAGAACTGACATTTTTTTGTTAGAGGGTTTCTCTTTGACTTTCTTCAATGGGAAACGTATATTGAAAATGTATAAGAAGGTGCACAAAAAAGATTCCCATTGCTTATTAATGTCACACTTGTCTACTTGTTTAATGAATTCTCAGTTAACCTCTTTCAACCTTTCTATAAATTCATTTACATTTTCCTCATTAAAAAATCTTTTAAAAATATAATTAGTTTTACCTGGGATGTTAATAACAAATATCAGCATTTGTGCGGAGTGGTCAGAGATGGAAGCGTGCAGAACCACCGAATGCTTATATTGAATATTTGTTAGGATATTATCTATACATGATCTAGATATTGATGTTACTCTAGTATATTCATTAACAGTATGAGTTATATCATATGAGTTTATCATTGTAATAATTCTTTTAAATTTATATTGAAATCTCCCCCTATCACTACTTTACAATTTCCCTCAGTTAACATTATTATCATTATTTCAAACCTTTCAAAAATCCAAAAAAAAATTGTACCCTAGAACCCGCAGGTCTGTGTATTGATAAAACAATTATATTTACATTTTCAACTTCTATTTCACATGCTGCACATTCTATTTCGTTACACACTGGCAATATCTGAATATCCATTTGAACTTTCCCTTTCACACCGTTTCGTAGATACACTGCACTTCCCCCATGTTTATTTTGTTCTCTACAGAAGCTTGTGCACAGATAGAAACTATTTATTCCATAATCCTCAATCTGCTCTTTTGATTTCCAATGTTCCGTAATACAAAAGACTTGGCACTGCCTATTATCACTTATAAGCTCCTCTAACTCATCCACACTGTTGCCAATTGATTGTACAATTTGATGTAATAAACTAATTTCTTTTTTATACATTCCACTATTGTCCTTGTTTCCTCTCTTTCTATTTTTCTGCAAAATTTCCTTCTCTGTCGTAGTCTTTATGTCTGTCTATTTGGAACCTTTTAATGCCCACATTTTTGGGCTAGAACTCTGGCTTGTGTATTGATTCTTTGTTTTCTAAAGATGCAGCTACTACAAATTTTTGTGAATAAATATTTTTTGATTTTCTGATTTTTTGATGAATCATTCGACCACCGTTGCATTTAAGATTTTATGGATTGAAACACCCCCCCCCCCCCCATGTTAACGTGATTTTTTGCCAATTTTGTATCCCACTCGAAAACAAAATCGACGGGTCCGGGCGTTTTCCCAAAAGGGAACTGAGCTGTCAGTAAATGTCTCTGTTTCGTTTTCGATACGCCACCCTGTATATTGTGATGATAGGTAGGCATGATATATCATTAAAACATTAGAACAAATGCTATAATTTTACAAGAATTTTAATATAATTTTCACATATTATAAAAAAAAAATGTTACACTGTATAGTAAAAATCTAATTTGGCATAAATGTCAAAACGAAAATGACAATTATAGCTTTATTGTGATTGTGCAGTCTTCTTGCAACATTGCGATTAAAATAAACAAAGTTTCACTTACCAATTTTGTTTGCTTACATTTTCTAACAGTCGTTGAGAATGAAATATAAGATATTTTTTAATACCTAAATATTTTTGGAAAGCAACATATAATGTATTTATTAGTAATTATAGTTGTTAATAAACATACCAAAATACGAAGAAAAGAAATAAAACTAAAATTAATGGGAACTTACTACTTTGTATTTTCAAATATTAACAGGTTTTAAATTTTGTTTATCTTTTTGGTAGGCTCATTTAACAGTACTTAAATTATAATATTTAAATTTTTACAAAGTAGGCTTTATCTACCTTATTATCTGTTAACATAATTTATCTATACAGGGTGGGACACTAAAAAGGAAACATCTTGAAGGGGAATTAAAAAAATGCCAATTTTAGTCGAATTTGATTCTAATAAAGTCACCTGTCTATAATATCCTTAACAACTGTCCTACGTTATTTAATATTTTCCATCTTTTTCGTTACTCTAACCAGTAAAAATATAAATAAGAAAAGTGTTAATTATGAAACATCATTAAAATGTTAATTTTATGAAAAATTCAGCAATGATAATGTTTTATAGTCATTAATATTAATTTTCAATAATTGGCATAGTCACAGATATTCAAATTGTTTCACCCCATACAGGGTGGGCAAATTTCGATGTTTTAATAACTATAAATGTTGTGGAAAAATGAACCTCTCATCCTCGATCTCCTTTTTTTGAGAAAAAATTAATGGTATTTTTAAAAATATGTTATTCTCTTTTGTTTTCGAGTTATAAACAAAAGTTGTTTTTTTCAAAGTTTCATTATGTGGCACTATCTCGCTTATTTATGAAAGTAGAAGAAAATAATGTATACCTTCTTTAGGCACTTTTTTAATAAGATTCATTTAGTCTTTAAATTAGACCAAAACCAGTCCAAAAATATTTTGTATTTCGAAAAATCTCAAAAAGTGTTTATTTTACGGAAAACAAAAATTTTGAATTTCATGTTTTAAGAAATGACACTAAATAGGTTTAAAATAACAGAAATTTATTATAAAACAAATGAGAAAGCTAGAGAGACCAAAACTATTTCAAAAATATTTTGTTGGGGGAAATTATTATTATTATTATTATTGTTAGGTCTCCATTGCATTTGGGAAGTTTGAGGAGCAGGGCGATTAAAATTAGAATTGTTGAAATTATAACCAGAGTTTGGTTGAAATTGAATTGGTTGCATCGACGATTGTTGGGGGGGTATATGTTGATTATCTGATTGTCTATTTTGGAAATAAGGGAGATAGAAATATTGGGAAAGTTGTGGGCGAACATTTTGCGGATTTTGTCGAATTATTTTAGGACTTGTTTTATAATTTTGATTAATTAGAGAATTATTTCTATTTTGACTGTATAGGAAATTTTCTTCTTCAATGGCTTAAGACATTGTTCTTTCTAAACAATCAGGATTACGTAGACGCACGTTATTTTGTAATTGGCCTGTTAAGCCCCTAATATAAGTCTTAAGAGCTAATTCATTATAATTATTAATTTTTAATTTTTACTCTTTTTTCATCAATTGTCTCATTACTTGAATTTAATTTACCTATTACTAAACTACGTGCTTCTTGACAGCGCATGCCAAAATTGTGTGGCGTTTTATTTCTGTGTGGACTTACAACTATTAAATCTTGGACAAGACAATCTATATTCCTTTGATCACCAAAACTTAATTTAAGGGTATCTTTAATCTCATCCCATGTTCTCAGTTCAGTTCTTGAACCTATAAGCATTAAAGCTCTACCTACTAATCTACCCATTATAGCTCTTAGGAGAAAACTATTTAACTGCATGTTTGTTGCACTATAAAATTAAGCAATAAAACTTTCACAATTATCAATAAAAATATTTAACGTATGCGGATTTCCGTCATAGTGAGGATAGTATCAATATAAAGTTTATAAAGCATTTGTTGATTAGTTTTTGCCATCGTTGCAATGATAGTTTGTTCTTGAATATTAACAGCTGATTCAAATAACCTTGTTAATTCTTCTAAACTATTATCGTCAACCATTAACAAACAAATTTATCTAAATTTAAAATTGTATTCTAACCAAAACAAATTTTATTCTCTTAATTGATTTTAAAATTACAGCTACGATATCAAAGATAAAGGAAAAGTAAAAAAGGAATTTTTCGACTTACAGTACTATGAAGAAAATTTGCATTTTCCCCAATAAGATATGTGGGCGATGAGATCCCTCTTCCCTGGATGGTTTTACAAATTTCGTCTCCAATAGGATATGGATGATTTGGTTCCGTTTCCCTGGACAGCTTCTTGAATCTGCACAAAGTATCTTCTGGAGTTACAAGTTTGTTATTGCAAATAAACCGTTATACGGACCGGTTTCGCCATTTATGTCGAACTGTTTTACAATCCTACTGACTGCGCCAAATAAATGTGACTTACTCCAAAAGAACTTTTTAAAAAACAAATTTCAAAGAATATAAATTTTATTACTAGTTACTACAATGAATGCTAAATTAATAATGAACTGTTTCACATAAAATGAAGGAAAGGTGTAATGAACGTGAGAATGCCAGCTTGCATTCTCCTGGCATCGAATTACGCAGGGTTCGCTGTACTGCGACCATAACTTGTGCACGATGCCTGCAAAATTGTTGAATTTATGAACTACTTATCACTAAAACATTTTTAAAATTATTTTACAAAAATTATATTTACGCCACATTTTCTTTTACAAATTAAACAGGTTTTCTATATTTTTTTTACTATAACTAATTAAATTTCAAACAATTTTTGACTCTCGTAACTATACTACATATTTCATAACACCCAGTATGAAAACTGTCAGGTAAATATATAATTATCGATAGCTACCTTAAATTGTGTTCGGTAATTGCTTTAGAAATGATAATTTTTACTACTTGCACACGCTTTTTTATTATATAAATGCTAAATCGTATATAAAATATATATTATTTGTATTATTTCAAAATGTTTCACGAAAAAACTTCAGTTTTGGTACTGATATCTTTAGTTGGGTACTGTTTGGGTGTTAAAGTTTGCCCAACAGAAAGTGATTATAATAATTTATTTTCCACAAAATGTAGTGAAAATCCAGATGCTGGTGCTTCGCCGGTAAGTTAACTACCGTTAAATAATAATAGTGTTGTCTAACTAAAACAGCATACTGTAACACATTTATTAAATATCTGTCTTGAATTAAATACCTTTCCTAATGTCAAACTGCTTTATTAAACACAGTTGATGATGTACTACGAGCCACGAATAAAAGAAATATTAAAATACTCCTGTTACTTGATTTCTTTAAAGCATTTGACACTCTACAACACGATTTACTACTTGCAATTCTAAAATCAATAGGCCTCACTGTTGATTGTATAAATTATTTTAAGAACTATCTTACTAATAGGTCACAAAGAGTAAAGTATGGCGAGCAATTTTTATCCAGTTTAAGTATTTCAACAGGGGTACCGTAAGGCTCCATTATAGGACCCCTTTTGTATACTCTGTACACTTCTGATATTGGCAGAGTCACAAACGTTAGTAAAATCCACCTCTATATCGATGATATACAAAATTATCACTCTTTTAACGCAAATAATTATATTCAAGGCGTAGAATGCATTAATGAAGACGTAAATAATAATATTCATATGTCATCCGATCATGCTCTAAGTATAAATTCTAATAAAACATCTGTATTAGTGTTTGGTCCTAAAAAAGCTTGTGATGAAATTTCTAACATCATTACAATAAAGGTCAATGGCCAGCAAATAAGACCAATAGAAGAAGCAAAACATCTTGGGGTAATTATGGACAACAAATTAAAGTTTAAAAAACATATAGACTCATGCATCAATAATGCTTATATTAATATCAAAACAATTTACACTAGTAGACAGTTTCTTTCTCTTCCAATAAAAAAGATATTATGTGAGGCAATGGTGCTGTCAAAATTTAACCATGGTGATTATGTCTATGGTCCGTTTATCGACTCTGCGGATATCAGGATGGTGCAGGTTGTGCAAAATTCGTGCATGCGTCTGATTTGTGGTGTAAAAAGAGGTCAGCCCATTTCCCACAAATTAAAAACTCTTAAATAGCTCAACATGAGTAAAAGGCGTTATCTGCACTTATCGTGTCTCCTTCATAAAATATTACTAAAAAAAAACCGACGTACCTTTTTAATAAGATTACCATTCAGTCAACCATACACAAACGAAACACTCGCTACAAACATGATATAACTACACCCAAACATCGCAATGAAATAATCAGACGTTCTTTCACGTACCAGGTCCTAAAATATATAATTGTCTATCAATATCTATAAAAAATAAGTCAATTCCATCATTTAAAAAAGTATTGAAATTAAATTTACTCTCTGCGATATAATATTATTGTTATATTTCTTCTGTTTTATTATTATTATTACCACTACCCCTTATAATTTTATAATTTCAAAGTTATATTGCCAATTACTAACATGTGTTTTTAGAAATTAATTTTTTTTTCTTTATACAGCTTAAGAGTTATTGTATCACAAATTATAAAATAATTTAATTTTGTTTTTGTGAAGAGCAGGGCGTTTGACTAAACAGCTCGATATTATTTTTTACAACGTAGGCATAAGAAATGTATTTAAAATGATCAGTTATTATTTTTTGGTAACTTAATTGGACCCAGTACTACAAATAAATTAGTCACAGAAGACCTGCAAATAAATATAGGTATTATAGCGTTTTAACAGTACCTAGATTAAAATCAAAAATATTAAAGAAAATACTTTTAGAATAAATAGCGACTGTAGAAACATCTTACTATTAATGTTATTTGACTTTTTGGAGGTAATTATTTTTGTTTTTTATTTTTTAATTTTTGAATAGCTTCTAAGATGTAATCAGGTTCTCTTACTGACATTCCCCGTTTATGCCTTGGATCTACCAATTCTGGCAACATACAGTTCATATAAAACTTTTTTAACTTCTCCTCCATATTTTTACACCAGAAATCGTCTCTTTTTATTATATATTCCACTTTAAGTGGATAATTGGGACCTGTCCATACACCAAAAATACATCCTCTTCGTCCTGTAATTTGTAATTGGTTTGTATTTGATAATACCATTGATGGTGGATATTAATGTCAAAATTAGGTGTCTTTATTAAAAATCCAAAAGGGTATTTTTTTCAATTTAATCGCCTCTAATACCTGCATTTGATAGGCAGCGTATGGACATTTTATTTCAACCACTAATTAATCTCCTACAATGCCGTCTGGAGTAGCACTTACAAATTTAAAAATTATTATTTTGATTTAAAATGAACTAATTTGCAATATGTTATAGTTGAGATGTGAGTAAAAATGTGAACTGATCGTTACGTACCTAAATATGGATATTTGTTTTCAATAAAAATTCCACAATCTCTAATCACTATATTTTCCTGCTCTTGAAGCTGCAAAAGTGCCGTTTTTCATACTTTTTGCCATGAGAAATAGGAGCAGCATTGACTGGTGGTTGGTAAATAATCCTTTTGACTAAAAGCTCACATAAAGTAGTAATTCGTCTAGTACACACTGCTTTAAAGTGTGAGGCCGTAATCATTTTTCTACGAATTTCAAACCAAACCCTGCTATCCGCCTGTGACATAGTTTGTTCCTGAATTACATTTCTCTTAACGTCAGATGAGGGGAATTCGTTTAAAAATTAAAGTTTTTTTACTTTATAAATATCTTGATCTAAATCCTTTTTGGTACAATTTTCTCCATAATCTAAATCAGTTTTATTGGTTTTTGCAGAATAACTTTTTTTTAATTTGCGATTAGATTTAGATTTTATTGCCAATTGTCGCCTTTTTTTTTCAATTCAGTTACTAATATGGATTGGTTAGTAAGGTTAAAGTTTTTTTCAATTCTGAATTTCCTGATTTCGAATCATATGATGCAACTGCTGCAAAACATCTATTTTGGTAAGAGCGCCCTCTGGAATAATTGATTCTTTTGTCACCTAGAAACTTAGCGACTGTCGCATGAAATTGTTCCACAATATTACTATCAATATCATATGTAATAGACTCCTGCTGTGATCTGACAAAGCATGTATAATTTTTAGAAGTCTTGTAAAAAATTCAGGTTTAGATCTGAAATTGGTTATTTCGTTTTTGGTTTCATCTGTATGCTTCTGACAAAAATAAATATCGCAGTTTTTATGATTACCAAAAACGTGAAAACTTGCATTGTCTATGTCTTTCTTTAAAATCAAAATGTTATTAATAGTGCTAAGACTATTTTCTTTTCTATAAGAAACTGCTTTCGTAACAGATGTTCTTGAACGAAGAATGTTTTGACTAACTAATTTTTTTTTTATTTTTATTGGAAAATTCACAAATAACTTTCTCTTTTAGGCTTAAAATTTTACTAAATACGTTCAAATCTTCAATTTACTGGTATAACTAAATAAATCGCCAATCCATTTCCTATGATAGGGGAAATGTGGCTCGACGACCAGTTCTTGGAATTTTGAAGGTAGGGGTATAATAGGAGTAATATGACGACAAATTAGTTCTCTTGAACGGAGCAATAACTCTTAAGATGAAAAGCAGAGGTTGTGTCTATGTTTCTTTGAAACATATGACACATCCACCTGATCTTCGGCTTTTTTTTACACCCTTGTTTTAATTACTGTATTTTTGTTAATATGGATGTAGAAAAAAATAAAGACATATTTTTATTATTATTTAAAAACATTTATATTAACAAAATATATGAGCTCAGAATCATATCATTTTGCCCATTCAATATTATATTTTTTATTTTACTTTAGACAACAATGGTAAATACCAAAGAAAAATCTATTAAATGGAACTATTTTTATTATAATTTGAGACATGTTTATCAACATTTTTTTTTAAATTAATATTAGAAAATTAGAGATATGCCCAGTTGTCTAAAATAAAATTAAAAATATAACATTGAATGGGCCAAATGATATGATTCGTATATTGGTTCTTACTTTTTAAATTCAAACATTTATAAACGCTGATGTCGGAAAACTCTTTAGAGTTGTATAGCCTTCAGGATTTTCTCTTTAAGGGGAATCTAAAGCTCGAGTTTTGACACAAATGTAGAGAGTCTATACTTAAAAAAAATATTGTTGGGATCTCTAGAAAAAACAATTATAAAGTTTTATCTTAGAATAATATTTTTAATTTTTTTTCTAAATCTTGTTTTGTCAGAGTGCCTAAAATGTAGAAAACTCAGCATTTTTAGAACCTAATATCGTGCTTCATTGGAAAAAGAAAAAATTGGTCTAAGATAAACTTAGATTCATCCCTTAACAATATTCTAACCCAAGAAAAAAATATTTCTTCAAAAATAAGCTAGTAAACCGTTATCAGACAAATTCGAACACCATCAGGTGGCGCCACCGGCGGTAAAATGCACTTCGTTTATATAGGCGGTGACAAACTTTTACAAGTACAATTTTGTAATATATTTTTTATGTAATTAAAATTAAAATTTATGTTTAAAGAGTATTTTAAAAACAAAATATTTGGTTTTCTAATCATATATCTTGTTTATACCAATTTATATTGTAGGTAGGTAATATACGGGTATAATAAAGAGATATTGCATAAAGTATATGTACCTATAATACTATGGGGTGTTAGAAATTGGACGAGAATAAAAATGCAGTCTATATGGGAGATATGGTAAAATGTAATTCGCACACTACTAGTCTAATATTTATGGAAAATAAAATAGTACACATATATATTTGTAACTTCTAGAGATATATGTGAAACTAAAATGATCACGTTTTAACTACTACTTCTACTACTAACAGTACTAAGTACTTAGTGATTTATAGGCCCATAAACTTTTTTTTTTATTTATTAGGTTGGTATAGGATGTTTTATGGACGCAATAAATGTGAATGGTATACACCGCAAATGGTGTGACCTAATTTAAAACAATACGACTACATCATTTTTGAAATTCTTTATTTATTTACAATAATACAAAAAACAAAGTTAGAAATAAGGGAAGTTACAAAGTTACTTTATTAAAAAACTATAAGAAAAAAAAAAGTGGTAAATGAATAAAACTAATAATATATTCTTCATTATCTTTTGTCTTTGCGCCCATAAAATGTATCAACCATTCTTTCCAATCTATTCAAATAAATAAATACTCAGTAACCTAACAGTCACTTTTATGAATTTTGGATATATATTTTTTATGCCTTTAGCAGTAGAGCATGGTTGTTTACTGCAGTTTGAATTTGGACAGATTATAGAATTTAAATCGAAATAACTATTAGGTTTACAGATTTTATCAATATATTTTTTTTTTTTAAATTAAACTATCTTAAATTATTAATAAATCGCCTAACTTTATTTTTACAATAGTATCATATAATTATTTCCAGAAAGAAATAGTGGACAGATGGAATATTTCGACACAAACTGAACATTATTTGGTAACGTCCGATGGTTATGTGTTCCTAGTTGTACAGTGTGTACCCTATATCGAAGATCTTTCAGCTGCTGCAGTTGTATTGGGACATGGTATTGCTTTGAACAGCAGAGGGTATCTTAACATGAAGAATAACACTTTAGGTGAATGATTGCAAATAATAAATTAAATTTTTTTTTATTCTACGCCTACATGTGTATTATTTATTTTTTTCCACACCCACGTGGATATTAGATACCGTCAAATGGGGTGAAATGGATCAAAAATATCGGGTTTTTCAAGATTCTGCCTTTATTATTTGATTTTTCTCAACGAAAAAATTAATGTAGAATCTTTGGACATTCAGTTGTAGTTTACATTATGTAAAAAAAATTTAGTAATAAAAACTTTTGGTATTTTTTTTGTTAAAGTGTGATCCATTTCACCCCGTTATATGGGGTGAAATGGATCACCTATTTATTTAACTTATAAATCCATTTTAACCTCGCCAAGTTTGAATTGGATCAGAAATTTCAGTTTTAAAAAAATAAAAACAAACTTTACAAAAAAACTACATAATTTTTTATATTGCTTTTAGTCAAAAACTACATCAAATCGCAACTTTTATTTAAAACACTGTAAGAAAAACAAAATAAACATTCTTAAAATAATAAAATTTGCTAATGGTGATAATTACAACCATCCAAACAAAAAAAAACATTCTTTGGCAATAAAAAAATACAAAAACAGCAAAAATATGAAATAAACTAAATTCAATTATTGTAGAACGAGAGTAGAAATATTTTTGAAACTGTAGTTTCCTCTTCTCCTGGACTTTACAGTTAGTTTTTTTATAATTTGATTTTTTTGAACTGTGGAAATATCCGGAATATCCGGATATATAAAGAAATTTTCTTTGTTGCCGATACTGGGTTTTTTTCTTAATGAGCTGACTGTGCACTGTTCACCATCTTTTTCCATGTCGATTATCAAACAGACATAATTTAGAACTCTTTTGCTTGTTGGGAACTCTGTTATAACAAAATCTCCAGGTTCCCAGTCATCTTTGTTATTTTCTGAAACTGTTTCCTCCGTATCTGCCCCTGACACTTGTTCCTCCTCTTCCGAACTTTCTTTTTCATTTTCTGAGAGATGTTCTCCCTCATCACTAGAAAGTTGTTCCCAATGGTCTGGATGGGGTTCATTATTTTCATCCAATTTTTCATTTTCTTCATGTTCTATTAATGTCGGTAAAAGATCTGCTACAGATACACTTTTTCCAGAAGGCACATTCATCTTCTTACCTCGTTTTGGAGCCGTTTCACCCCCCCTTCTCATTTCCCTTAAATGTTCAACAATTGTATTTGTCCATGCCATATTCACATCTTGACGTTCTTCTTCTTCTTGTGGTGTGCGAAGATGTGCTATTTTTTTCAAAACTGCTTCGGGATTAAATGGTGAAATGCCGCAGGACTTGAAGCCCGCTTCTGTATTTGTTTTTGACTTAGCACCAACCTTATCCAAGGTCTCGTTTAACAGCTTCGGAAACAAGGTCTTTGGTAAGACGCCCCTATTTTTTAGTTTCCACTTTTCTAACACATTTCGCCATGCTGCCTTTAAAGGCCGGAAGTAAGCTACATCTAATGGCTGAAGCAAATGGGTGGAATTTGGTGGAAGCAATACAAATTTTATGTCATTTTTTTCGCAATGTTCAATTACTCTTATTGTTAGATGACTACATAAATTATCACCAATCATTACTTTAGTTCCATCAAGTGATCTGAAATAAGGCAAAGCTGTGTTTAAAAACCAATCTTCAAATGTGGTTGCATCAAACCAACCATTTATTGTTCTATTGTATCTGGAACCTGGAAATCCCCCTTCTACCCATCCTGGATATAAATGCCTCGCTTTATAAACTGTATATGGAGGTAAGAGGGTTCCATCGCCTGCTACAGCAAACATTACGCTTGTACTGCTTTTTGATGAATCTATAATTCTATGCGAATGTTTCGAACCCCTCCTAACCACCACTTTTACCGCACCAGGGTCGTCTGTGAAATTGGTCTCATCGTAATTTACAACATTACACGCCGGGACATCATTGATGGATACTTTGAGATGATTAAAATAATCTTCTACAATTTCATACGTCACTGCTGCTCTCACACGTTTTGTGTTCTCGGCTAGTTTTATAGTTAAATTGGGGTGCCTCGTCATGAACAATTTAAACCAATCAATTCCTGGTAAATTGTCTTTAAAACGTTTCTCACGTTTACCACATCTATTCAGGAACTGTTGAACCATAAATCTGATATCAAAACTTTTTAGGGGGAATCCCCATTCAGCACATACCAGAAGCACATCCACCAATTTATTTTCTTCTTCTGAGGTTAGTGCTGGTTGCCCACCTAACGACGAGGAGTGCTTTCCGTTTACTCTGTGATTAAGGGTAGTATAGGGAACAGCATACGTTTCCGAAGCTCTCCTTATGCTCATACGACCCGCTTTAACTGCTTGTAAAGCTCTTTCTAGAAACACGGGATCATAATTTCTTCTTCGTCGCAACCCTAATACTTTCTTGTAATATCTTGGCATTTTTTACTATAAAAAAAAAACATCGTCAGTGGGTCCGAACATGTGCATGAGCGTGATCATTGATAAAACAGTTACTAAAATTATATTAATATAATTAAAATAGATGATTCAAATCACCCCCATATATTGAGATTAAAAAAAAAAATCACAACTGCCAACTAAATGAATAAAATGAAAATATAGTATCACCCATGCCTTCAAGAAACATAAATAAACATAATAAAAAATCTCAAAATACTTCAACTATTATCAAATTTTAAATATAATAGTTTGTTTTCAAATATTGTTAAATTACTCATTTTCACTACTTACCTACAACAATTTTTATTGACACTGCAAACCAACTACTAACGTCTCTGTTCGCATCTAGAGAAGTACTGACCTCGCGCCGTCAAGATCTGTTCATTTTGCTACCGTTCGGTTTGCGTTTAACGAATTTCAGCCGAAGATTTAAAAAAAGGCGCGAATGATCAATTTCACCCACCGTGATCCATTTCACCCCGTTTGACGGTATTCTACACAGACTATAAAAAGAAAAATATGCCATTGCGTTCAACTGAAAGAATATATTTTATATTAATTCTACAAAGTAAAAATGAAACCCACCAATCACAGGTCATATATTATTTGGTTACCATTTTGTTAAATTATAAATAAGTGAAAATTCTATCAAACTGTCAGTAAGTTTTTAGTTATTGAATTTTTGTAATCCCAATTAACTCCTTACAGCTTTATCTAAGATATTTTTATCCAAGTATATGAACTTAAAATGCTTAAACTATATTAAATCCCTTAAAGCAAATATATTTTAATTCAGTTTTTCTTCATATTCCACAATACTTACCATTGTGTTTAGTTCTTTTTGATTTATAAATTTCATTGGTATTAAACTGTTTATTACTGGTAAATTGTCACTGTAAAGCATTTCATTTTTCTAAATTCAATAAAAAATTATTTAATTATTTAGCTAAGTAAATGTCATTCAAAAACATCACATTTTGGCGAATTAAACAGGTTAAGATTTGAATGATGTAAATTATGTCAAAAACAAAAACAACTCGCACTTTACAAGCAGTAGAGAAAGACTTGCTTAATCTTGGTCTGGCAGAATTTGGTCAAGTATGAACGTGCCAGACTAATTTTATTCGAAAGAGGAATAAAAAATAAAAATTTTGACGTTTGATTTTTTCTTATACCTTGTATAGAAAATTTGTTGTTGTAATAAATTTGTTGGGAGTGGTCTGACAAACAGTTGCGTCAAGAATAAGAACGCCAGACTTAAATTTCTATATTCATCTGGTCAAAACGCCATCGAAAACTAAATAATTATGTTTAAGTTATGTAGATCAAATTTGCAAAAAAAAAAATATAAATTTTATTTAAAAAAAAAATTGGACAAGTCACAGACTACCAGACCGATGGTTTGTTATTTATCTAATACCCAAAAAGTAATAAAATATATTTTTGTACTTGTACTGGATGACCACCTTTTTACGGCGGTCGCCGCTTGGACTATACCAAATGCATTGTATTCTAAACTTTTATTTTAATTTTTTTTATACATTATCAATTTCTTTTTTGGTCCCTTTCTTTACTTTATCATCCATAATTCCTTTTATTGTTTAGACCACTTCTTCGCTATCTCTACTAAATTCTTAATTATTTTCTTTAATAACATTTTTGTTACTTTTCCTTTATTATCCATTATCATTTATAAGTTCTTCCTTATCTTGTTTCTTCATTTCTAACAGCATCATTATTATTGTTTTCTCATGTGCAGTGTTTTTCTCTCTCTTCCATTTTCACCTTTTTCTATACTTTTCCTTTAGTGAATGTATTATTTAATTAAATTTTGCTGCTCCATATCTTTTTTACATTTTCACTGTTCCTCCGTTTGTTCAACTTTCTTTCGTTCTTGTAAATCCATTTATGTTATCACTTTCTATCACTGTCGCAATTGTTAACCTAAAACTTTTAAATTATTTGTTATTTTAATATATTACTTTAATTTCTTCCTTTTATACATGTTATTTTTATTATTCTTTTAACAATCAGCCTATTTTTCGACCAAGGAACCTCTGCAAACATCCAAAACATACAATGCACGTAATTTCTGTAACAAAATTAACAAATTAAAATTTGCAATCTAATAACTTATTTAAGAAACTCAAAAATTTGTAAATCTTTCTCCTCTGTTGCCCTTCTGCGAATATATGCTCTTCCAGTATCCAGTATCGTTATTTGTATCTGCCTCGTTATCTGGTCCTATCTGTAAGGATTTATCACATAATTTCCAACAGACATTATAAAGATTTGCATTTTTTAAATAAATTTAAAATGATTTCCTTTTCAGTTTACAATTTGCTTATACACAAACATCAGGTTTATCTAATTAACTTCCGTGGAACGATATTCAGCACCAACACTACTAATGGAATTTCAATTGACCAGTTTGAATACTGGACTTTTACGTAAGTGGTTCCTGTTCTTTATTACAAAAATAAATGGGAAAATAAAAGATATTGGAGATTTAATATAGAAATAACGAAAATTACCTAAAGTGTATCATTACAAGCAATTATTAGAGATAATTCAGTTTTGATAGGTCATTACTACCTGGCATTGGTTTTAAATTCTAAAAATTACCTAAAATGTATCATAACAAGTAAATAATAAAGATAATTTAGTTTTGTAGGTCACAAAAGAAACGATAAAAATATTTAAGTAAAATAACAGAAACAACAGAATAATAATAATTATAAATTCACGAATTTGATACCACCGCCCGTACCGGTCGCTACTTCACTGAAAGTTTCGGTGTAGAATATTGGTGTAGGTGTGCTTAAAGGTAAAGAGCCCTCAAAGATCACGTGATCGGAGATATTCTTCTGGTTATTATTTATTCTGATAGTATTAGTTCGATCGGGAGCACGTCGATTTTCTTTGGTTTTTTATGATTTTTAAGAAAGGGATCTTCTAAATCTGAAGCGAATCGTTTTAAATCATTGGAAAATGATGAAACAGATTTTTCAAGCTCCTGTTCAGGTAAAGAATAAAAAAAGTACTTTGACTCGTACCTGAAAATTTGAATGAATAAAGAAAGCATAATTAATATTAATACATGAAAAAGTATTATAATCTTTAAAAAAAAACAACTTACTTGATTATTTCAGCTCTGGAGTTGGTATTTAACTTAATGCAGACTCTGCAGTTGAACGTCGAAGTCGTGTATCCGTGTAGGTTTTACCCCACAAGATGAAGACACGATAAAATGAAAATAAAAGTAATGCACCTACACTTAAATGACTAACTTATTTTTTTTTTTTTTTGTTATAGATACGAACATTTGGGATTAGAAGAAGTAGCTATAACTATCAGTCTAGCTAAAAATATAACAAATCGTAAAGTTGTTTACGTAGGTTTTTCTTTAGGTACTACAGCTGCTTTCGCTTTATGTAGTTTAAAACCTATTTTCTGTAAAGAAGCACTTGTTGGTATTGTGGCTTTGGCTCCGGTGGCCTATTTGGATATACTTATTCCATCAGCTCTTGGTCTACTTGCTCCAATTTGGCCAGTAAATGAGGTAAGGAAACGTGTCTTCCTGACACATTTTCTGCATTTCATTGTATATTTAAATTTGTAGGTACATTTCATATTTTATTTTATATTCCATTCCATATTTTATTTTATATTTTATTTTATATTCCATTTTATATTTTATTTCATTTTATATTTTATTTCATTTTATATTTCATTTTATATTTCATTTTATATTTCATTTTATATTTCATTTTATATTTCATTTTATATTTCATTTTATATTTCATTTTATATTTCATTTTATATTTCATTTTATATTTCATTTTATATTTCATTTTATATTTCATTTTATATTTCATTTTATATTTCATTTTATATTTCATTTTATATTTCATTTTATATTTCATTTTATATTTCATTTTATATTTCATTTTATATTTCATTTTATACTTCATTTTATATTTCATTTTATATTTCATTTTATATTTCATTTTATATTTCATTTTATATTTCATTTTATATTTCATTTTATATTTCATTTTATATTTCATTTTATATTTCATTTTATATTTCATTTTATATTTCATTTTATATTTCATTTTATATTTCATTTTATATTTCATTTTATATTTCATTTTATATTTCATTTTATATTTCATTTTATATTTCATTTTATATTTCATTTTATATTTCATTTTATATTTCATTTTATATTTCATTTTATATTTCATTTTATATTTCATTTTATATTTCATTTTATATTTCATTTTATATTTCATTTTATATTTCATTTTATATTTCATTTTATATTTCATTTTATATTTCATTTTATATTTCATTTTATATTTCATTTTATATTTCATTTTATATTTCATTTTATATTTCATTTTATATTTCATTTTATATTTCATTTTATATTTCATTTTATATTTCATTTTATATTTCATTTTATATTTCATTTTATATTTCATTTTATATTTCATTTTATATTTCATTTTATATTTCATTTTATATTTCATTTTATATTTCATTTTATATTTCATTTTATATTTCATTTTATATTTCATTTTATATTTCATTTTATATTTCATTTTATATTTCATTTTATATTTCATTTTATATTTCATTTTATATTTCATTTTATATTTCATTTTATATTTCATTTTATATTTCATTTTATATTTCATTTTATATTTCATTTTATATTTCATTTTATATTTCATTTTATATTTCATTTTATATTTCATTTTATATTTCATTTTATATTTCATTTTACATTTCATTTTATATTTCATTTTATATTTCATTTCATATTTCATTTTATATGTCATTTCAAATTTTATTTTATATTTTATTTTGTGCAGTGTGTTCAAAGTTGAATCAATTATTTTAACAGTTTGTAGAACTCGTCAAACAAAAAATGATATACCAAACATTACTTATATAAAAGTTACACAATTAGCGAGTTATAGGTACATTTTTAAATTATTATTTAAAAAAATCATAATCATAAAATTCATATAAAAGTGCATATTAAAAGATTGAAAATTTTATAAAACAATTGATTTGATATTTTCAACCACACTAAAAAAACGCGCTAAATTGCTTAAACTTCGCACACGTAGTACTCATTACATTATCTTTCTGTCAGGTAAAGCCACTTGTACCCCATCTCCTCCAAGGGGTACTTTACCCTTGTCGATTTTGAGAAAATTAGTGCCAGGTACTAGAAAAAACGCGGTAAACTGCTGAAATTTCGTACCCATCATTCCTATATCTTTACCATTTTGGCCAGATGAGACTATGTTTGCCCCTATTGCAACAGAGTACTAAAAAAACGCGCTAATTGCTTAAACTTTGCAAATATAATTCTTATCTCAATACCTTTTTGTCAGGTGACTTTTTCTCCCGATGTCCTAAATAGGGTACTTTACTCTTGTCAATTTTGACAAAATTAATGTCAGATGCTACAAAAGCCTAAATTGCTTATACCTCTTACACGTAAAATGTATCTCAATACCTTTTTGCCAGGTAAAACAATTTTCCCCCATCTCCAAATGGGTACTGTTACGCAGCACCCTGCAGCGTGCTGCGGTCGTCACAAGTAAAGGTAAGAGTAAATGAGGAAGATGGAATATTCCAGAAATATCTCGAAATGTCATTCCTTGTCAAAGAAAAATCCGGATTGTTCGAGAAGGTTCTAGAAGGTGGAGGCAAGCTATATAAGTCGACGACCTGACGTCAGTGGGCAGTTTTATGATAGACGTTATACGTGAATGTTATCAGTTGGATAATTGTTGTTAAAATTAAGTTGAAATAAATTGTGATACCAAAAACCTGCGTAACAATACTTTAATCCTGTCAATGTTGACAAAATTAGTGCCAGGTTCTGGAAAAAAAACGCGCTAGATTACTAAAACTTTGCACACGTAATACTTATCTCAATACCTTTTGGCCAGGTGACACTATTTTCTCCCAAATCTTCTCCAAGGGGTACTTTACTCTTGTCAATTTTGACAAAATTAATGTCAAATGCTAGAAAAAACGCGCTAATTTGCCTTGACTTTGCACACTTAAAGCCCATAACATTGGATTTTTGCCAGGTGAAACCATTTTCCCCCTCATATCATCCAAGGGTTACTGTACTCCTGTCAATTTTGACAAATTAGTGCCAAGTACTGGAAAAAACGTGTTAGATTACCTAAACCTTGCACACGTGATACTAATTACATTTTATTTTTGTCAGGTGAAAATATTTTTCCACCATCGCATCCAAGGGGTACTTTACTCTTGTCAATTTTGACAAAATCAGTGTCAGGTACTGGAAAAAACGCGGTAAACTGCTGAGACTTCGTACACGTTATACACATATCATTACCTTCTCGCCAGGTGAAACAATGTTTTTCTCCATATCCTCCATGGGGTACATTACTTTAGTCAATTTTGACAAAATTAGTGCCAGGTACTAGAAAAAACGCGCTAGATTACCTAAATTTTGCACACGTAATAAATATATTACCTTTTTGACAGGTGAAACCATTTTTCCTCCCATTGCTTCCTAGGGATACTTTACTTATGTCAATTTTGACAAAATAATCGCCTTTAAAGCATTCGCAACGTTAAGGCCACTCCGTTGCGCGTCTTGGCCTTAAATTCGTTGCTCATACTTTAAAGGCTCGATTATGAATTATTGTCATAATATACTATTGAAAGTTCAAGCAATTTATGACCTCAAGAGAACATATTTTATAATAAATGATTGTACTTTGTCATAAATTTATATATATGTCAATGTACTCATTGTCTAATAAAAGTTTGAATCACAAAGAAAATTTTGTTTAAAAAAATGTGTCGTTTAATTATTATAATACAGTATTTTAATTTTCTTTTTTAGCATTTTGTGAAAGAAAAATATAATGGCAGGATAATGCCTAGAAATGAAAATGAGTTAAAGTTATATACATCAAACTCTATATCAATGAAGATTTTTTACAACGAACGAATTTTATTCTTTGGAAATAATCCCGGATCAATTCCTTGGGTCAGTATAAAAATGTTGTTTATGTTCTGTTAACTGTTCGTCCCCGTCAATTAACTTTTCGTGCGGATAAACATGGTCCAGTAGAAAAAATTTGTCTTTTGTTTAATGTACACTCCGAAGGCATTTCGTGCGGTATTTTTGATGTAGCTATAAGCATAGGCGCCGAATCCTCGGGGCTCTGGGTGCGCAAGCACCCAGAGCAGTTTGAAACTGGGTGCGGAGCACCCATAGTACAGCGTGGACAAAAAATGCCAATAAGTGAAATGAAGAAGCTGTTCATGTATCTGGAATTATTAGAAAACGCCATTTATCCAGCATTACTAGAGTGCCACCCCATTTTGCACTGACTATTCGTTAGTATTTGGATCAAACGTTTTCAGGTCAGTGGATCGGAAGAAGAGAAAGTATTGAGTGAGTGGCCCCCACGGTCTTCGGATCTAACCTTGTTCGATTTTTAATGAGGCCACTTAAAAACTAAAATTTATGCCATCCAGCCAACATCACTGGAAAATCTATGACAAAGGGGGCATTCATTAATTACGTAAGGTAATTTTGAGGATTTTTTGACCCCCTCCCCCCTAGTGAGATTTGTTAAGATTATCATCAACTCAGGGGTTAAAATCTATGTAAAAATATCTTCAAAATAAGCTATCATTTGACCCCTCTTTCCATTTAAGATTTTAGGGGCAAGTTTCACCCCTGCTAGAGGGTTTCCGTTCATGGGATGAAACTGACAAAAAAATGTTTCCCCCTAAATCTAAAATTGAGCGTTTTTTCGTAAAGGAACTGGGGTGCGACAAAATTGGCTATGTTTTGTTTTCAAATGGCCACCCTGTATATCTACAATACTCCATTATATGTGTATAAATAAATAATCAAAAATCTCCTAAATTAGTTAATAAATGTTTTATATTGTTTCTACTTATTTCATTGGTAGTTTAGCACTGCAGCACCACTGAATACCAGTGGTGGCAGCACCGAGCATATAGGGTTGACAGATGCCAGATATCCCGATTTAGGTGGGAGCCTTCAAGCCTCCAGCCTACCGATTGTTGATACTTCGTCTGCCTCTTCAATCCTCAAAACTCCAGCAATTGGACATGTGACAATACCTTTTTTTTTCAAGAATATTTTCATAAAATTAACACTTTAAAATAGCTTTTAAAGTGCTTTTAAAAAACCGGTGGTGCCTTTAAGTGAGGTGTGGAAGGTGGATGGGGATTGCACCCGTTTCCCGTATAGAGGCCGGGCACCCAAAGCAATTTTTGAGTTCCGGCGCCTATGGCTATAAGTACATATAGAAAGGAACTTAACAAAATTGTTGGGCTCGATTAAAGAGACATAACCTTGTAGGATTTCCGTGGCCTTGGTGTGGGGTTTTGCAGACGCTCTGATTATTCCTGAATATTTCTGATTATTTAAGTAGTTTTGTTCATTTAATTAGATATTGTGTATTTTTGTTGATTTCTATTTTCGCTGTATTTATAGAAACATGTAATTAGGCTCATGCCTGTTTGTTTCTGGAATAAATAAATAAATAAATAAACTGAATATCTGTATTTTACAGTAGTCTAGTTTATGGTAACAACCAACCACTAAAAACTATATACTAATCCAGTAATTAATAATTATGTTCTTATGTACTTGTAGGCATTTAGTTAATATTTTGTTAAGCAAGCAAATAACTCGCATTAACTGCCACATTAGAAAAAGCGAAACACCTTCTTCATTGAGTGGGTATGGTTTGTGCGAGCATGCGTTTTATAAACGAATATATATTTGAAATTTCTGTTTTACACCTTTGTCACACTGCAATTTAAATAGTGTACATTCGTGTATATCACTTTCGGAAACAATAATAGTTGCAACCAGAGAAAACAATACACAAATTGCAACTGACATAAATATAATTTTTTAAATTTGGATGCTTTATGGACACATTAAAAAATAATTACTTTTAGTTTTAACCCCTTAATGCATACTGTGCCCAATTTGGGAAATATGAAAAAATATTATTTTCAAATACATATACTGATTTTAAACCGCCAACTTAATCTATTCCATATTTGGCACACTACGCTCGAGAAAGATTATCGCCATATGGCTCTTATTTTCTAATTTATGTAATTTTTTCTTCAGTCGCTAGAAAATACGCATAAGGACGTATTGTTTACATTGTTTAGGCCACAAAATCTGTGAAAAATAATATCTACTTTTAGGTAAGTGTGTGTAGTTATGAATTTTGTAAAAAAAAATGCATTTGAACTTATATATCTGTCCGCTACATGTCATTTGTTTCCTTGTGCCATATTTCGTACAATTTAAAGTAAAGGTAACTCTGACTTATATATACTTTATTTTTTTAGGTGCATTAGAAAAGGTTTTATGATTTCAAAACTATTCATATTCGAGATTTATGTGACAATTAAGATAATGATAATGATGATGATGAAATATAACTTTTTTTTAAGTAATAGTAGAAGAAACCAGTGAAGATGAATATTATGATAAAGAAGTCGAAGTAGATAATATAAAAAAAATGATTATTATGAGAGTTAAGACGACGTTCTCCAGTCTAATATAGTTACAGCTAATAAGACAACGAAATAACCAGGTCCACACTGATTCCAGAGAAAAACATTTGAAGGTCCCTGACGAAGACATTTTATAGGAGGGGTCTGAGTCCTTATGAAATTTAGTTTTTAAATTTTGAGAGTATTTATGCGTATATAATCACTTAAGGACTTTTGTCATGTATTTTTAACGGTTTTTAGTAATTATGATTTAATATCAGTCTAACTTTTTCCTTTCCTTTAACCTAAATTGTTCTACTTTAGGTACATGTCAAAATATTGACAACTTTCGACGTAAATATTAACAGCCGTATGCATAGTCGATCGCCAGCGACTCGCCAGCGACTCGCTGGCGATCCGCCGGCGAAAGCCCAAAAAGCTGGCGACTCGCCGGAGATTGTCACCGGAATGTCATTTCACGCAAGTTTTCATGTTCTTTTATAGGGAAAAATTTGATATTCGTTCATAATTTTTTGAGTTTTAAGAAATGAATCATGAATAAAATGCGTGAGATACCGGTGATAATCCCTATAAAAGAAAATAAAAACTTGCGTGAAATGACATTTCGGTGACAATCTCCGGCGAGACGCCATCTTTTTGGGCTTTCGCCGGCGGATCGCCAGCGAATCGCTGGCGAAACGCCGGAATGAATCTCTGGCGAGTCGCTGGCGATCGACTATGCATACGGCTGTAAGCATTCCAACGACCGGTCAAAATGCTGCCAGTGGGAACTGACAGTTTAGATATTGCAACCCCTGTTGTCACTGACAGGGTCAATGATGCATATATAGTCATATAGATTGCTCAAATCGGGTAGTTTGCAAGTGATCATTAATTTAAATCAATTTAGCAAAAATGTGTTCTGTAGCCAATTTCCAGCTTTTGAATAGTAAAAAAAATAGTTATCTACATTTTAATTTCAAGGCATAAGCTTACGTTTATTATTAAAAATATGAATTATCAATCTATATTACTATCTATATCATTGATCCTGTCAAATCACCTGGCCCACACTGTCGCCATATTATAACCTATCATGTGCCTGTCAGTCATTTGTCATTTCCTACGGGCAGCCATTTTGTTTGGAATGCCTAAATATGGTATATTTTTCATAGAGTACTAGGTACATAACACATTAGATATTATTTAAATAAATGAAAACAAAAAAATCATGCAGTAGATAAGGGGTTAATAAAATAATATACTATTTTTACAGTAAATTAAAAAAATAGCAATATTGCCTGATGTAAATAGATTTATTGAATAATATACATTATGCAATATATTAATGTAACTTTATTATTTTAGCAATATTATCCAGTTTGTATTATCAACAATCCTGACGCAATTGGTCATAATGTAGTGGAACATTTCGATCAAAATATACTTGCTGCACAATTTAGACGGTTTGACTACAAGGATAAGAACAAGAACACTGCTGTCTATGGTACACCTGATCCTCCGAATTATGCTGTACCAGACATTTCCGTGAAAGTTAGTTTAATGACTGGAAAGAACGACCTTTTAGCAACTGAAAAAGTAAGAAACTATTTTTTAATAGTTAAGCAAAGCTACTCAATTTTTCTTGTAGCATTTGTTTAAAATATGATTTTTGACACAACAAAAATAATTTTAAAGCTTATTCACGCTAAACTTTCATTGAAAACTATATTTATTCAATAATAAAATGTCTTTTTTTTTTTCAAATATTTATATATACCAGTATTTAACCAGTGGTCGAAATTCGTCACTTTATTAGGTATTAGAAATTTGAGGAAAACATGCATATGCGTTTGTATGTTCCTAACATTTTTTTTTTATATTTATTCATTCGTTTATTATATGTATACACACAGCGTTACAAAACTTGGATGTTTTTATATTAATATACAGGGTGTCTGTAAAAGGTCTTTACAAAAACATACCACATATTCCTTAGACCAAAATAAGTCGATTTAAGTAAAATTACCTTAGTACAAAGTTGCTTCGTTTGGGCTCCAGAGGGCCTTGAAGTTACAATTTTTAATTTGTTTTTCACATATAAATTTAAAACGGCATATGCGATTTTGCTGAAATTTGGTATATCGGTAGAGTTTTATGTGGCAAAAAAAAATTTGTTAAAATTTTGTCCGATAATAATACATAGGCGTAGAACTTGATTTTTTAAATAATTGCACCTTTAAAAATTCTACGCCAATGGAAGAAAAGGAGTTTAAGTATGAAATTTAGATTGCGCAACTCATTTTTTTTAAAAAAGGTATCTACACTTGATAAGACTCGATTACTCTCATGGTTTTGACGAAATTTGCATTTTAGTAATTTTAGAACACAAACAATAATTATTAAAATACAAACTTTGTCAAAACCATGAGAGTAAATCGAGTGTTATCAAGGGTACTTTTTTGTAGTAAATGAGTACTCAGTCCAAATTTCATACTCAAACCCCTTTTTGCCATTGGCGTAGAATTTTTAGAGGTGCAATTATTTAAAAAATCAAGTTTTACGCCTATGTATTATTATAGTACAAAATTTTATACGATGAAAAACATAAAAATCTACTTTTTTCATATCTTCTCCAACACCTCTAATCGAGACTTTTAACAAAAATACTCGATTCTTGCCATCTACGATTTTTTGAGGAATATTAATTATTTGCCTGCAATATGTATACATAAACATTTATTGTTGGTTTCCATAGTTTCATCTGAATAAAAATATTGTCAAGTTTTAACACCTAATCTCTTGTTAACGATTAAAAGTGTTCTATGTGACTCAATAATTAAAAAAACAAATACGTGGTTTATTAATATGGCTGTACAATATACCAATGCAGACTATACCGATATGTTACTGACATTAGGATTTTGTAAAGGAAATGCTCGAGAGAGTGTCAGGGTGTACTCTGAAAGGTTTCCAAATCGTGTACCTAGCCACCCAACTTTTGCTGCTGTTGAGAGACGTCTTCGGGAGATTGGTTCCTTTGCTCCCAACACTGTTGATAATGGAAGAGAACGTTTTGTAAGGATTCCTGAAGTTGAAAAAGACATTTTAGAACGTGTTGAAGAAGATCCAGAATTAAGCACCAGACGAATTGGAAGGGAACTAGAAGTAAGTAAAGATGTCGTTCATAAAGTGCTTGAAGAACAATTGCTATATCCATATCACAAGAAGCCAGTACAAGAATTATTAGTCCATGATCCTTAAATTCGTTTGGGTTTTTGTCGATTTGTTAATATGCAAAGAGAAAGAAATCCAAACTTTTTCAAGAAGGTTCTCTTTACCGATGAAGCGGATTTTACAAGAAGGCAAAAAGGTATATTGGAATGGAGAAGAGATCACCCTAATATTCAATTTACCAAAGAAAACTTTGCTCCCCTTCTCTATAAGGTTGTTAAAAAATACACTAACAATAATATTATAAGAAACGGATTTAGGGCAACTGGTTTATTTCCATGGAACGCCGATGCAATAGATTATTCTAAATGTTTGTCAAATAGAAATGTCGTTAATAATAATCTAGACAATAATATTTTATCTCCGGAACCTGACAATACTAAATTTATGGATTTTGAAACATTCAAGTCAATAATTGGTGAAGAAACATTGCATTTCCTGGAAACTAAACCAGTCGAGGGTAATAAAACGGAAATTACATTTTTGCAGAAAATATTGGAATTTTTAAGAACCCCCCAACAACAAAATAATTTTGACATCACTAACATGCCATTAGATATATTTTTGGAAAATAATAACCATGAGCCAGACCTCTGCAGCATTGAGTTTGAACCCAATTTGGAGCAACAAAAAGGTGATCATGTTAAAAGTGAAAACAGCTGCGCTAATCAACAGAACCTGAAAATTGTTGATAATGAACTCAATGCCGCACTGAAAGAATTCGACAGTTCTTTGGAATATATAAGAACAGACTGTAGGAGAGTCGCTATCGCTGGAAAGTATTTAGGCCACAGTTATCCAAAGACTTTACTTTTGAATGTAAAAATACACCGTTTTTACTTTTGACAACTTTTTTATTTTTTACGACATTACATCAAAGTCAAAAACTAGCGAACAGTACATAAAAACAATATAACTAAGGCTTAAAGATTAACATGAAATCTCTAACACTTCCCCTTAATCATAAGCCATAAAAACTTTGAAGCCCCAGCCCGTTGACACATTTTAAATGTTTAGGTTTGGATAATCCTTTGGTAAATATATCAGCAACCATTTCATTGGATTGAATATATTTAACTTCTACCCATTTATTTTCAACTACTTCTCGAACAAAGTGATGTCTAACATCAATATGCTTCGTTCTATTGTGAAAAACAGGATTCTGCGATAATTTTAAAACACTTTGATTATCGCAATAGAGAAGAATCTGATGTTCAGTGCCAAGTAACTCTTTAACCAAACCTCTTAAGTGGATTGCCTCCTTGCAGGACTCACTTAAGGCCATGTACTCTGCCTCAGTTGATGAAAGAGCGACAGTAATCTGTTTCTTGCTTTCCCAAGATATTGGTCCATTTCCTAATTTAAAAACAAATCCTGTGTAAGAATGGCGATCTGTTTCTTGATTGGCCCAATCAGCATCTACAAAACCAGTGACTCTTGTCTTAGCATTTACTAAACTGTCTGGTTCATTAGGCTCAGCATCAATATCATCAGCTTCCGTGTAATAAGTTACATAATCATCAAAATTTTTCTTTTATCTTTCTCTTACTGGATATCTTTTTTCTTGAACTGTTGTAATTTCTAACTCCCTTTCTTCTTCTCCTTCTTCTTCGGTTTGTTCCCCTTCGCAAAATAAGTTTCCAGTATTTTGGGTTAGATTTTCTTTTAAAATTACAGGTTCAGAAACGTTTTCATCTATGTAAATGGGTATACTAGGTACATTATGAGTTATACTCGGTATATTACCTTTTTCTTGGATTAACCCAAACTCATGTTCTAAAAACACAACATCTCTGGCCCTTGTGATTTTCTGTGGGTTAGCCAAATCATGAAATCTATACCCTGATTCTTCATAACCAACGAAAATCATTCTTTTGCTTTTAGCATCTAACTTATTTCGCTTCTGATCTGGAATATGGACGTAACCAACACATCCAAAAACTCTCAGATGACTTAAATTTACTTTTTCACCTGTCCATTTTTCCTCAGGAGTTATGTTAGGAAGTGATTTATGTGGTGAACGATTTATAATGTAAACAGCTGTATTTGCAGCCTCAGCCCACATTCTTTTGTCACACTTTGCTTCCTGCATCATACACCTAACTTTTTCCATTACAGTTCTATTAACTCGTTCAGCAATCCCGTTTTGCTGGGGATTGTACGGTATAGTCAACTGATGCAAAATGCCATTATTCTTTAGTTATTCAGTCAAAGCATGAATGACAAACTCACCACCATTATCAGTCCTTAATTTTTTGATCTTCAAGTTCGTTTGGTTCTCAATCATTATTTTAAATTCTTTGAAAGTTGAACAAACTTGATCTTTTGTCTTTAAAAAATAGACAAATATTTTTCTAGTGCAGTCGTCTATCAGGGTAAACATATAATTTGTTCCACTCCAAGACGGCACAGGCATTGGCCCACAAAGATCTGCGTGAATAAGTTCCAGTTTCTCTGATGCTCTTTTATTTCTATTTCTGAAAGGTTTCTTGGACATCTTTCCTTCGGCGCAGGATATACAGACATTACCATTATCATCGGAAAAAGAAATACCAATTGCCAAGCCATTTTTTAATAGTTTCATAGACTTTCTATTCAAGTGACATAGGCGCTTGTGCCACAACTCATGAGAATCAATATTTGCATTATTTACAGCTAAACAGGGTTGACTAGGAATACTAGAAACATCGTCAGATATGTTCAATCGATAAATACCAGCTACATTCGATGCTGCAGCAAAAATTGTTCCTTCTATTTTACAATTTTCGGTTTTCATTATCCTACAACCAGTAGAGTCAAACACAACAACTAGTCCTTTAGAAACTAACTTGCTTACAGACAATAAATTTACATGTATACCAGGTACAAATATAGCATCTGTAATTGTTGTTATGCTAATCTCATTTTTCAGTTTTATTGGCACATTACCAACGCCTTCGCTAAATAATTTACAATTATTTGCAACAGTAACTTCACTATTATTCATTGTACAGTTGTTAAAATCAGAAAACCAATCTTTGCGGAAAGTCATATGGGCGGAAGCACCGGAATCAACAAACCAATCGCCGCTGGAGACTTTAACGCCAAATGCCGCTACTAGAGATTTTTGCTCATTTGCTTGTTCTCCGTCTGGCTTAGTAACCGATGCCCTTTTCTTGGGACAATTGGGCCTTACATGTCCAACTTCACCACACCCACAACATTTAATATTTCCTTGGTTCTTCTTTTTAGGCTTAAACTTGCTCACCATCGCAGATTCAGAATTATTTTGTTTATTGTCCCAATGAGTGTCTTGAAGCAACTTAGTTTTTACAAAATCACTCGTTATTTTAGCTCCTGAGTTCTCTATTGCCATAATCATAGGG